AAGCAGAAACGGGTAAATAGATGTAAATCGACTAAAACTAAATGCAGTGACCAAACTACTACGAAAACTATTTTAAAATCTAGAGAAGAGGGTTAACAACTACTAGGAGAAAACAAAGGATTAAAAATGTAAAACTACTAATAATTAAAAATCGAGAGCTAAAACGGGTCAAACAGGTCGATTCTAACAACTTAAGATAAATGAGTTCTAATGATCAAGATGCAATCTTTATGACAAGAGAGTGATAAACTAGAGTTTTTAAGATGCTTAAAAGAGAGGATCTAAGGTTGAGGGTCATATTCAAGAAGTTCAAGATTCAAACTTTTGGGGTTGAAAACATAAATCTACTCTTTTGAAGAGCTATCTCTAAACCTTGAGGATCTAAAGGAGGGTTATCCATGGCGTGTGGTATAACCCCTTTCCCTAATCCTTCCTCCAAACCTATGGCGTGTAGTGGAAAAAAGGATCGGAGAACACTAAGCAAAGACCTCAAATATTGGCTTAACTAACCCCCTATTCAACCATGGCGTTTGGGAGAGGATAGATTAGTCTCTAGGATTTGGCTTTAAAGGATCTCTGAATCCGGTCAAGGTAAGAAAGCCCTGGAATCATAGAGATCTTTTCCAAGACTCTCTAAGCTTTAAGACCCCAAATCCTAGAAGAGAAATGGTTAAGAACAAGAAAAACTCCCAAAAGCTTAAACCTTTAAACCCTCAAATCGCCCCAACCTTAAACCCAAAAGGTTACTACTCGCTACACATACTTAAAACCGATTGTAATGCAAAGAAAGATAAACTAAGCATGATTAAGCAAGCGATTATGAAAAAAGACTTAATGATTAACGAGATTCAAAGTTTAAAACAAGAAAAGCTTAAAAATATTGCATTGGCGGAATCGTCAAAGAGAAAGAACAGAAAAGATAAAAGCAAAGTGTGTCCTCTGAAAGTGATCGCCGCCCTTTGCCTAAAATGGCCAAACATCCCTAATGGTCCCCTCACTACGCTCCAAAAGTGAGCTGGCCGGATAAGGCTCCGAGGATCGATCTCTAAATCGTGCAGCTCACCTGATCTTCTTCATGGATCGCCTTCTATCGCTCGATCTTCAAGTCAATTTGGTTGGATGGATCGAGCACTTCCTTCGAACTTCTACTCAATCCTTGGATGACCGAGTCGTGGTCTCGACCTGGCTTTCGTTCTGCATGGCGTCATCCACGTCCGTACTCACGATCGATCTTCTCTCTCGATCTTGGTCTCGATCCTTCTCCTTGAAACGACTTGAGTCACTCGATCTTCTGGTCGATCTCGTCTAGATCGACCTGCCTTGCTCGATCCGCTACTCGATCTCGGGTCCTTTGCATGCATGGCTGAGTTCTCCAAGTGTCCACGAGCTCCCTCTTGATCCTAAGCACGTCCACACAACCTCCACAACTCCAGAGTGTCACAAACAACCTGATAATGATGCAAAAGATGCAAGAAATATGCAAAGTGCGAATGTAAAGTGATCTAGGACCTAAAATGCAACAAATGATAGAAACTAGCGTATTATGCAAGATGAATGCATGAAAACTACCCTAAATGCATGCTAAATAAGCTGAATATGCATGTATATAATTAGTGTTTAATTGGATTGATTCCTCTCTATTAATATGTGCTTAGGCTAGATTTATCTTGATCACATGAATCCAGATTTACGCTTCATCTTATGCCCACCAAGTGTTTGATGAAATGCTGATCTTGTTTAATAGAGGATTTGCTTTTCTTAGCTTTAAAGATTGACTGTCTAAGAAGTATTTTGGCTAGAATAGAGTTGGGTTTGCTTGCTTGTTGATTGTTCTAGTACATATGAGAGTTAGTTCTTGTTAGGATGATTAGCAAAGGGTTGTTTATCAAGAGATTGGAATTACGTTGCTTGATTGTGAGCTCTATGCCTTGGAATTAGCATTGCTTGCTTGTTTGCATTGTCAATGATGTTTGAAAACAGCCTATCTTGCCATTAAATTCCCCAAAGTCATTAGCCACATCTAGGATCCTTGCTTCTAATCTTTGAATTTCGAATTATCTAGTATTCTGTTTTTGCTTGCTCTATTTTGCACTTGATCATTGCTAAGTATTGCTTTCTTGAGTTTTGCTTGGTTCATTGGTCACTTAGGTTGATAGTTTAGTAGTGTTAAACAAATCTTCTCTTTGATTCACTTAACTTAAAGTATTCTGCTATAATCCTAGTGGAATCTGGCTTCACCCCTTGGATTGGCTTAAAACCATATGATGTGCTACAATTGATTAGTACAAGGGTGATTGAGAAAGAGCTCAAAAATATAGTATTAATTCTCTCTAGGAATACATGAGATTCATTCTCAACTTTTGCTGGTGAGGGCCTACTTTTTTCTTGAGAACATGCCTTACATGAAAACTCCCTTGATTGAAAAATCTTTTGGTTTTTTAATAGGTGGCCACTCGAATTTTGCACTATTCTTCTCATCATGACTGAAGCAGGGTGGCATAACCATTCCTGCCACACTTTGAAAGTGCTGGTTAACTTCTGGTTTATCGCAATATGTGATTCGGCCATGGTTATCTTTGTGCAATATAATCCGGAGGACATCATTGGTAATTCTTCCAATCGATGTTTACTCTCCGTTGTAAAGCAAAGATATTCAATTCCATTCTTATTAATAGTCTCAATATGATATCCATTTCAGTGGATATTTCGAAAACTTAATAAGTTCCGTTGAGACTCTGGGGGAGTATAATGCATCTTGCACTACAAACTTTGTACCATGTGGCAATGAAAAACTCGTTCTTCATGAGCCTAGAATAATCTTTGCAATACCAGCTATAGTGCTAACGCTTCCGGCGGAGACTTTCATTTTGAGACAAGATAAATACTTTTTTTTATTGAGACAAGAGAAATAATTTTTATCCTTAAGGATTGTATGTGTCGTAGCATTGTCTGTTAGACAAGTATCTTCATCCCGAATCTCAAATTGTGACATCTTCTAAATCACAATACTTATAAGTAATGCAATAATTAACTATAGAAACATAAACTTAAATAAATAAAAAGTTTAATCCATTACATCAAAAACATTTAGCAGAAACATAGTATATTATACATACTAAAAGCAAGATTAAGAGTTTGTTATGCTTGTCTCCATCATGGAGACACTATTATCGATTTCAGTTTTTTGACTTTGTTGATGTTTTAGGATCAATAAAAAAGTCAGCGACATCAATATAAGTGTCCTCACTCAAGCCATGGAAGAAAGTTTCAGCTTCATCTAAGATAAATTTGGTATCTACATCCCTTTCTTTGGCCTTCTGTGATATTGCATACAGATCGGCGAAATATTTAGGCGTCTGACACGTTCATACCCAATGTGTTTTCATGATGTATCTGAAGCAAGGGGTGTCACCTTATCTTCTAACGTTCCGACCATCATCACTTTCCATTCCTCGTCCATGCCCTCGACTGCGGCCGTAGCCATGGCCTCTACCGCGTATGTGTTCACGTCGTGGCTTCTTATCACTTTGATTGGATGCCGCAGCATTGGCTTCAGGGAATCACATAGATCCAATAGGAAGATTATGATAGTTCAACATTACGAGTTGATTATTCTGTTCAGCTACAAGGAGGATCTGCATCAACTCTGAGTATTAGGTGAATTCTCTTGCCCGGTATTATTTATGCATGATTACATATTCAGGATGAAAATTGGAAAGAGTTTTCTCTAACATATCATATTCACTGATATATTCTCCACACAATATCATCGAGGACGTGATTCCGAAAACGCAAAATTATAGTTACTCACACTTTTGTAATCCTGGAACTGGTTATTCAACCACTCGTGCCTCGCTTTCGGTAAGATCACATATATGTGGTGATCGAACTGACTCTTAAGCGATAGCCAAAAATCTGTGAGATCTTCTTTTGTGATGTATTCATCTTTTAAACCATCATGGATATGGTAGCGTAAAATCATCATGGCTTTGGCCTTAGCCTCATCAGACATCATTTTTGACTTATTGATAGTGTTGAAAAGACTGATTCTTTTTAGATGCAACTTTGCACATACCGTCTAAGACATATAATTATTTCCACATCAGTCAAGGGTGGTGACTTCGAGCTTTGACAAGTTTGACATTAATACTGAATAACAAAATTTTAACCTATTTAATTCGAAAAAAATTATTATAAAAATTTTAGCATGGTAATGGCATAATAAAAACAATAATATAAAGTAATATGAAGAGGCAGAACCTTCCATATAATTGATGATTTTTCATAATAAATAAATAAACAAAGATGAGGATTTCACGCAATAAATATAATATGAGGTAACATAGTCTACCATGTGATCATTTTGATCGTGGAGGCAGAACCTTCTATCTCGGTATAATAAATAATCAATATAATTATTTGATCGTAAAGGCAGCGTCTACTATAATGATCAACTCAGAGGAGGCAGAGCCTACCATCCCGACACATTATATAAACAGAAAAGATAAAATCTATCTTTCCATAAATAGTAAATTTTAAAATAAATTAAATCTAAATAAATTTTACCTTATTGATAACGTGTTATAAAATATAATATATGTGTTATAAGTTTGATCGATGCAAAAGAGAGAGAGAAGTTTTATTCTTACATATGTGTGTTTACAAAGGTATAATAACTCTATTTATAAAGTTTGTTAAGTGTGTGTTTACAAATCCATAACAACTCTATTTATAAAGTTCGTTGAAAGTTTGTTAAGTCAGTGGAAGTTAAACAATATGGACAAAAACTTCCATATTGTATAATTATTATCCAATTTTTAACGGAGGTGTTTTATTATATAGAAATGGTTAGGTATTATTCACAGATAAGAAGAGAGGAAGATTTTAACACTTGTAAGAAGAACAAATCTTTTATATGCAAGTAAAGAGAATCATTCTTCTTGAATGTTTGATAAATAAATAAATAAAAGAATAATTGTTGAGAGACGAAGACACCCAAATCAAGCGAAGCTTTGCTGGATCTGTTGGATAATGGGAGGGATGATAGTCTGATAAGCTTTCTCAGACGGGTGTCCAATGTCCCAAAACACATGTCGAGATGCATCCATGCACGGTACCGGAGCCGCCGGAGAACAACAGCAAGGCCTCGTCGGCGAAGTAAATCCTAAAAGAAACCGAAAGTACTTACATGATCGTGAAAAACTTCTTTCAAAAGATTTTTGTATGAATAAATGTTTTAGTTCCGTCCATACAACGTAACCATTAACAGTCTTAATGAAAATCTAAACTTAAGAAGAAAAAAAACACACTTACCGTATCTTAGAGGGTTCTTGACGAGTTCAAAAAGAGGACTATACATGTCTACGTAGATCGAACGAGAGCCTGGGAGCATTGAATTGAGATTGTTGACTTCGGTCGCAAGCTTTCGATTAAAGAGTCTAGCGACTGCGTTTGTGGGTTCTAGACAAACTCCCCCAAGAGCGTTGCTTGCTCCTGGTAGACATCCCAGTGGTAACGTTCCCATAACCGCAAATTTTCTCGCTCCCAAATCATATAGCTCCTATATGATCAAAAAATAAATCTAATTAAGTTGAATTATGTAAATCTGGACTAGTTTGATCGACTATTAATATACCGTCATGAATGATTGAGTCCATGAAACCATCATGTTGGTGTAGGAGAAGACAGCGTATCGAGTGTTTCTTGCTGGATTTGAGGAATATGTGATCGCAATATCGTTATTTCCAGCGGAAATGACAAACACTGCGTTAGAGACGATTGATCTCGTTTTCTCTTCATCAATTCTGTGATGCTATTTAGCTGTGCTATGTAAGTTTTAAAGTCCTTTAACTGGTCTGGTACCCAAATAACTCCCTGTAGTTTTTATTTTTAATGAATATGAATTTATTAGTCAAACACAATTGGTAGATGGAAAAATAAAATCACATTAACTGTGTTATTGGATCTAAACCAGAACCACCAGAAGCAAAACTAACACCGGTTATTGAAGGAATGGACTACGATAAGCTGGTACAATGTTCTTTATTCCCAAACCTTCGGCTGCATGCATAATTCACTTTTAATATAAGAAAAATGGTTAAAGTTCACAAAAGAAACAAATGGTTTAAAAAGCCCCTTTTCAAAAATGAAAAAAATAATATATATACATATATATATATATATATTATGTATTATTGTAGAAAAAATAATACCAATCATATCTGTAGGAATTCTTCCATTGCCAAATCTTCCCGTGGCTCTTCGAGTTACAAAGTCTCTTCCATAAGGAAAGAAATTAACTTTAGTTAGAGTCCTAAGATTATTATTGTTGCCTGTATCGAGTATCGAATCTCCGAATGCAAAACCGCTGGAATATTTCCGGCTTGAGCGACAGAAAATGATATCATAAAGTGTTTGAGGGAAAATGAGCACATTTCCTAAAAGGTTTTTTCTAGCAATAATTTAAGTCCACTAAGATCAGGAAGACTGCGTCGATCTAACTCGGATTAAAGGAAATCCCTTGAAGATAACCTTCGAAGATTGGAAACATCGGATCAACTCGACAGATAATGGAGAATTTCCATATTCTTTGGAGAATAAGGGAAATTTCAATATCACGGATATGAAAATATTCACCAAAGACGAAAAGGAAAAGGAGTTCGGAGCAACCGGCCTCCTATCTATAAATAAGAAGGCTTCGAAGCCAAGAAGATGCTCATATACAATCTAGAGAGCAGCAAATCTAAAACTAGAGACTCCAACGCTTTCTAGTTTATTTCGCAAACACCTTTTTTACTTCGGCATAACCTCTCGGTTATACCTTTCTTTGTAATCGTTTCGCTTACTTGTTATTAATAAAAAAACCTTATTCTCTGAAACCCACAATTTTTAATCAAACCCTAGTGGTGATTTTCTGGTTCAACAGTTGGCGCCGTCTATGGAGACTAGGAGAATAAATTCTTAAAAACTAGCAAGCAAAAAAACCGAAGCGATGAGTCTCCCGATCGATAACACCGATCTAATCCGCAACGACGATACCACCACCGAGACACCTGCTCTCGGCGAGTAGGTTAACTCGACCACCGCGCATACTGAGATGTCCGATCTTAATTCTACCACCGCGATCCTACCACCCACGAGAGAACAGGACCACACGACATTCAACGGCACCTGCATGATCTTAGGAGGAATATTCACCGATCCCAGTTCGCTGGAGGAAATCAAACGACACGAGGAAAAAGCAGCGGGAGCGAAGCGAGACCCACCCGCCCCGAGGTACGAAACGCTAATAGATTTCACAGCAGAGGATCAGCACAGCTCGCAAGCACCGAACGTCGACCCACTAGTCATAACTCTACAGATCCACGAAAGCACGGTCACCAAAGCTCTGGTTGACGGCGGGAGTACCGTTAACATCATCTTCAAGGACTCTGTCAAGGATGAACATTAATGAAAACAAGATAATAGCGATAAGAAAACCGCTGACAAGATTCGCAGGCGACACCTCCTACAGTATCGGTTCGATACATCTAATTACTTACATCGGCGGCATGATCAAGAAGGCAGAATTTGCAGTCATCAACTGCCCGACCATCTATAACGTCATCTTCGGAACTCCATGGATCCACGCCATGAAGGCCGTCATCTCGACGTACCATCAATGCATCAGGTTTCCAACCCCTACCGGTACATTCACACTGCAGGGCGACCAATCAACAGCACCAATGTGCCTTCTCGACGAAAGAAAAATCAGAACAGCAACCACCTGCATGGTGAATGAAAACTTAGACCCGCGTCTTCCCCTCCACAAAACACCGAAGCCCGAGCAAGTTATACAGGTAGGCATTGACGAGCGACACCTGGAGAGAACTGAGAGCATTGGCGGCGACCTTGCAGAAGATCTAAAAGTGGAGCTCGTCAAACTTTTACGCGAACACGTACACTTGTTTGCCTGGTCCATGGAGGACATGAAAGGAATCGACACTAGAATCATGTCGCACAAACTAAACTTAGATCCTACGTTTAAACCAATTAAAAAAAAATGCAGGAAGCTCGGTCCCGAAAAGGCACAAGCCGTAATCGACGAAGTGGAAAAATTGCTCGGCGCCAGATCGATCACCGAGGTCCAGTATCCCGACTGGTTAGCTAACCCAGTCGTCGTCAAAAAGAAGAACGGTAAATGGAGGGTCTGCGTCGACTTCACTGATCTCAATAAAGCCTGCCCAAAGGACTGTTTCCCACTTCCTCACATCAATCGACTGGTCGAATCAACGGCCGGAAACCAGCTCCTATCCTTTATGGATGCCTTCTCAGGGTACAATCACTTTAAGCATCCCGACGACAGAGAAAAAACGGCATTCATCACCGATCGCGGAACGTATTGCTTTAAAGTTATGCCTTCCGGACTGAAAAATGCAGGCGTTACATACCAACAATTGGTCAACAAGATGTTCGCAAGTCAGCTCAGCCGTACCATAGAGGTCTACATTGACGATATGCTAGTCAAATCCGCAATCGCTAAAGATCACGTCGGCCACCTCAGGGACTGCTTCAAAACCCTCGAGAAATATAGAATGAAATTGAATCCAGGTAAATGCACTTTTGGCGTAACCTCAGGAGAATTCCTAGGTTACGTTGTCACTCAAAGGGGGATAGAAGCCAACCCAACATAAATTTCGGCAATTCTGGACCTCCCGTCACCCAAAAACACACGCGAAGTACAACGCTTAACCGACAGAATCGTCGCTCTAAACCGATTTATCTCGCGGTCGACCGACAAATGTCTCCCTTTCTATCAATTACTTCGAAGTAATAAACATTTTAACTGGGATGATAAATGCGAAGAGGAATTCACGCAGTTGAAGGAGTACCTAACCACCCCGCCAATATTAGCAAAATCAGAGGATGGCTAGACTCTGTATCTTTACATCGCAGTCTCAACAGCAGCAGTAAGCGGCATCCTTGTTAGGGAAGACCGTGGCGAACAGAAGCCAATCTTCTACATAAGTAAAACTCTGGATGGAGCCGAAACTCGCTATCCAGCCCTGGAAAAACTAGCCTATGCAGTAATCATTTCGGCACGGAAGCAGCGACCTTACTTCAAATCTCACACCATTGTCGTCTTCACCAGTCAACCACTTCGAAGTATCCTGCACAGCCCAAGCCAATCCGGCCGAATGGCCAAATGGGTGATAGAACTATCTGAATATGATATCGAGTACCACGCTCGAACCAGTGCTAAGTCCCAAGTCTTAGCGGACTTCATGATTGAGATACCACCGGATCTACTAAACAATGAGTCACCTGCAGAGAGCCGCTGGAATATATATGTTGACGGTGCGTCTTCAAAGCAAGGGTCAGGAGTCGGCATTTGTTTGAAATCACCGAAGGAGAAATACACGAGCAGTCATTCAAACTCGGCTTCCCCGCTTCAAACAATGAAGCCGAATACGAAGCTATGCTGGCAGGGCTTCGGCTCGCCAAAGAAGTTAGAGCAAAACATATTCATGCCTTCTGCGATTCCCAGCTCGTCGCCAGCCAATTCAAAGGAGACTATGACGCAAAGAACGAGCGAATGGACGCTTACCTAAAGCAGGTTCAGGAAATAACGAAGCAATTCGATTCCTTCGAATTAACTAACATCCCGTGAACTGAAAACACTGCTGCCGACGCGCTGGCAGCATTGGCATCTACGACGGATCCGGCGCTCCGTCGAACAATTCCTGTAGAAATCATCGAGCAACCCATCATTCAACTATCTAAAGGATCTTGCAATGCGGTATTACACCAAGACGACGAAATGGACGATCTAAAAGAAGAAGACACCGAACAACAAAAACAACCTTGGCAAGACGAAATCAAGTCTTACCTGCTGGAAGGGACTGTCCCGGAGGATAGATGGGCAGCTAGGCATCTCTGGAGGAAAGCAGCACACTACTTTATTCAGGAAGGCAACCTTTTCCGGTGGATGGCTAACAAGGTGATACTGCAGTGCTGCGACAAAGCACATGCAAAGAAAATAATGATTGAAACTCACGAAGGAGCAAGCGGCAACCATTCTGGAGGACGAGCATTAGCCTTAAAGATAAAGAAGCATGGTCTATTCTGGCCTAGAATGATCCCAGATTGCGAATAATTTGTGCCTCGGTGCGAACCATGTTAGAAACACGCTCTCATCATCAATGCACCTACCGAGCTACTTCAAACCGCCGTTCCGCTGTAACCTTTCATGTGGTGGTCAATGGATGCAATCGGCCCAATGCCTAAATATGGTCGCAATCAACATATCCTGGTAATGACAGATTACTTTACCAAGTGGGTTGAAGCTAAAGAATACCCCAGCATCAAGGCGATCGACGTCCAGCTCTTCGTTTGGGAATACATCATATGTCGGCATGGCCTCCCATACGAGATTGTCATGAATAATGGCACGCCATTCACCTCGTCAATTTTTTGAAATTTTTGTGAAAAGTGGAGAATACGCATCAGTTATTCGACACATTGCTACCCACAAGATAACGGACAAGCAGAAGCCTCTAATAAAACAATTCTTGATGGCCTTAAGAAACGGCTAACAGACCTGGAAGAAAGAAGGGCAGATGAACTGGACGGGGTCCTCTGGTCCCACTGAACGACTCTGCGAACTGCAACAGGCGAAACTCTTTTTTCGCTATCTCACGGCTGTGAAGCGTTAACACCTACCGAAGTTCACGCATCAAGCGCTCGGCGAACCATAATGGTTCAAGACCCACAACTAAATAACGAAAAGTTAATCAACATGCTTGATGGCTTGGAGGAACTTCGTGATAAAGCCTTATTACGAATCCAGAACTATCAGCAGCAAGTCTCCAGATATTACAACAAAAAAGTATGCAACCGGTTGTTTTCGCTTCACGACCTCGTTTTACGGAGGGTTACCAATCCAACGAAAGTTAAAGCAAATTGGAAGGGTACATATCGCATTATACATATCGTAAAACCTGGCATCTACAAATTGGAAAAATGGATGGAAAACCAG